TAACATTAAGTGCATGCTCAAGAACACATGCAAAGAAAAGAATAAAATAGGCTTGATAACATAAACACCACCTGAATATCCAACAAAATAAAGCATATCGATAATAGCTTTTTTGGATACCCAAGGTCACATAAAAATATCACATTGAGGCATACCAAATACTCTTATAACATGAACAGTAATGGACTATGACCTAGACAAAGCATCAAGTTTAGCCAAAACATGCTAAACCGAAATCATTCCCCTTGCACCAACCTTACAATGAACATCCATATCCCAAACATAAACACTAATACAACCCACAAAAGTGTAGGCCATTGAAGTATCGATGCCTATTTATAGCAACAAACCCATAACATTCAACAGATAGCTTAATGATAGGAGACAAGGAATTGAATACTTACTTGAGACAACCCATATCAGAGAAAGAAGATTTAACACTAACACAGCACAAACAGCTAGTAGAGCTTAAAGTCCACACATGCCTTCATCAGCAATGGATGTATAGACGAGATGGAATGACAGGAAGACGATTAAAGATGAGATTTAAAGAACCTTACTCCCTCAACTCATAAACACACACTACCTGACTCCCACTACTAAAGCCTCTCTCGTAGGTGAGGACAATGGCGCAAGGCTAGTAAATTTATCCCACACTAAAATGTGTCACCCTCTCCTCTTGCAACCTTAGGAAGATCCATCGAATGGCCGTGATTAAATGCCATGGATCTGCCCTGTGCGAGAGCCAAAATTGTACCCCTTTTGGATTGCAAGATCAAAGCTTGAGCTTTAGAAGACTAACTATGGCCCAAATTAACCACTACTACAACTCCTTGTCCTTGCCTTTACCTCACAATTAATCTCTCACATGCCTTAGCAAACACTCACCCCTTACTTTCTTAGAAAAAGCCACGTAGTGCGGCTTGCCCCTAAACCAATGACACGTGTCAGTCTTTTTTAATAATCCCTTCTCCATATTTTATTTATCTTTCTTTACTAATAATGAAATAATAATAAAGATGAAGCCAAGCTACAAGCCTTAATATCTCTTTTTCATATAAAAATACCACCATTTTACATTAAAAATAGCCATCGATGACAACTGGTTACTATTAGTTGGTTATTATTAAATAATATATTGATTGATATCTTCCAAATAATAATAATTGATCAGGGTAGCTATTTTTTTTAGACATTGTTTGTTGTTGATACAATAATACCAATCTTTATTAATTTGTTGTATTTTATTAAACATTGTTTTTTGGACACTCTAACACTAATATTTATTGACCCACCAATTCATGAATTCTAAAATGGGATGGTTCATAAATGAGGCTGAAAAATATCATGGACCATAGTTAGTCTAGAAATCAATCACATCACAATTTATTATTAATAAACCTCCACACCTATCCCTTTTATCCCCCAATAACTAATATTTTTTTACTATTTCATAGTTTATTGACTGAGATTGGCATTCAATTAATTCATTGTTAGACTAGCTGATTTAATTATTCTCAAACTGTAAGGACATGTCCCTTTTATCCCTAACAACTAATATATCTTTTTCTAATTCATGGTTAATTGATTAAGATTGGTATTTAATTAATTCATTGTTGATCTATTTGATTTAATTATTCTCACAATACAAGGATGTAACCTCACTCCACCGATCGGGGGGACAAAATAGTGGGTTTCTTAAAGCTTATGCTACCCGCAAAGAACAAATTGTATATTGGAACTCAAAAAACCAAAAGTGGGCCCTTTTATTTAGGAGGAATTTTTCATGGAATAGAAGCAAATGAAGGAAAAAGTAGAATTAAAAAAGGGGAAAGACAAGGAAGGGACCAATTTTGCTAGTCACCAGGAAATGCACCCACTGTGTTGGTGCAAAAAGGAAAAGAAAGGTGAGGTACAAGAAAAAGTGAGGGATTGACATTCCCAATTGAAGGCACAAGGGCACTCACAAAAAAGGATGGACTTCAAGGGAAGAGAAGGAGACACTGTAAAGGAAGAAAAGCTGAACTATTCATTGCTACAGGAATTTGTGCCTTAAGCCAGTATCCCCCTTAGCTCGGCTCAAAGTATTGGGAGAGATATTGATATTGTTAAAGGAATAAGAAAAAAAATATCATTTCAACATTATCTATAAAAAGTCAGATAAGAGATGCTTTCAAAACATACCTATAGCGTGCACAGATGTGGTCAATGATGATGATTATGTTGTGATCTATATGAGTTGTAAGTTTTTTTTTTGGCCAGTAGTTGTAAGTTATAGTTGAAGCTATTAGTTATGTGGATAATCAATTAATATTATTCAAAACTACTCCTTGTTGGTTTTGGTTCAGCAAGAGCTCTAACAATGTGTTCACACCCTCTAAAACATCACCATGCATCCCTACCCACTTGCATCCCATGAAAAAAATATATAATGACTCAGCACATTTTTCAACAATGTAGGATCCATGAGGCATTAATAAGGAATAACATATCAACAAACTCCAACACTACTACTCCACATCATTGCCACATAGGATAAGTTATAAAGGATTAAATGGGTTTTCAAAAATACTAGGATTAAATTATAATCTGATTAAACTTGAAAAACTAAGTTATACTTGTTTTTTTTTTGCCAAAAAAAGTCCATTTTATTAATAAAAAAATTACACACAATAATAGTTGAAGCAAAAAAGAAGAAGAAGAAGAAGAAGAAGAAAGAAGCTCAAAGAAAAACTAACAATACAACCTAAACACACCAAAACCTCAGACAAACATAAAAAAAAAAAAATACAACCTTCAAACAGAAATAAAGAAAGAAAAAAAAACAATAACCAATACCAACATGAATATTATAATTGTTAGAATTCTTAGGGTCCTTATCTAAGCTACTAGTTAAATAAGCTAATAAAACCTCAATTAAGAGTGGTGGTGATGCTATTTCCAGCCACCATTGGGTAACACCTCTCTATTTTCAGCAATTGCTAGCTTATTAGTAGCATGATCAGTTTTAAATTGAGTTATAATTGATTAAATTAAACTTTAAGGTCTAAATTGCATCGAGTTAAATTTTAAACGATTGAATTCTCATTGAATTAAAGCTTAAAAGATTAAATGATTAATTTTTTCTTTTGTCTTCCTTCCTCCTCAAATATAATAATTAAAAACATGTATTGTGCTTACATATATAGATTATAATGAAAAATATCTCGCATGGGGCCACTCTAGAAAATAAACCACAAATATTTGGCCAAAAAAATAATAACTAAACTTGATCCAAGCAGGGGCTAGTCTTGAAATCAAGACATGGTGGGCAAACATAAAAACTACTTAAAGTATGGGAAGCTAACATTAATTTTACAATTTTTTCAAAAAAATAAAAAAATCCCAAAATTTTTCAAAGGAACAATCAAATTGTGGGGGCAAGCACGTTCCTTGCATCCAAACCTTAAACCAAATTATTCAAATACTGAATTAAACCGATTAAAACAAAAAAAAAAAAGAACAAATCCCAAGCATTTCATAAATAGATTGGTTTCGGTTCGATTTTTGAAAAAAAAAAAAAAAACCCAACTTGCAAATTAAATACCATGACTACTAAGTCTAAGTCGTATAAGTACACAATATCTTTTAACAATTAAAAGTTCATCAATAATGCAAAATAATGTAGACTTAAATACTGATGCAAACGTAAATCACTTTATTAAATTTTTAAAAGATATCTCATTGTCAAAATCATTAATAATTGAATATTCAAAAACATATTCAAGAATAAATAAGTCTACCTTTTTTAATAAAGTAATTTCAAATAAACACTTTTGTTATGTTAGATATAAGAAATATTTTTTCATCCTTGTTTTTAAAGTAAAACTTTAAATAATTAATGAATGCTTGGTTCAATTGTTCGAGAAATTAAATAAGTTTATTTTGTGATCTTGAGTTTGAGTATTCAAATGAGCAATCTTATTAAATAAATATATCAAAGACATCTCTTAAGTACTCATAAGGCTATTATTGATAATAACAATTCTACATAACAAGGATTCAAATAATGAAAGTGATAATATTCTAAATTTTTTATGATATTGAGTAATAAAATAAAAAAAAGTAAAATTTAAATGAGTTGAATCTTAAAAATTCACACAAACTTAAATCTTCTTTATATAAAAATAATATTTTAATATATCATAACTGATACGTTTGTAAAATGAAATTTATACAATTTACAAGCCCTAAGCATACTGAATCACAAATTTTACAAGTCTTAAGCATGCCCATTGATAAACTACTTTCGATAAAGTATTATTATAATATTGGTTAATGTTATCTTCAGTATTAAATGTTAAATTAATAAAAATGAAAAAAAATTACTTTACAATCCCCGCAACATATTTAAGCACCTCAGAATTTATTAGATTCATAGAAAAATAATAATAGTTGTATTTTTCTCTGCTAATTTTTTTTTCTTATTCCATGGCTGCGCTCTTGGAATATTATTATCCCGTGTACAAATTAATTTAAACTCCCATTATGTGAAATTGTCATTACCAACAACCATTTTATGGGTGATTCAAAAATATTTTTGACATATTTATTTAATATGATAGTATATTTTAAGATTTTAATTTAAAATTCTAGAATAAGTTAATTCAACCCCTCCACTAATTGTCAAGTGCTCTTGATGTTTATCTTAAAAGTTCTTAATGGTTCTTTCTTTTTAAATGTATTGTGAGGTACTTTTTATATAATTCTTGAAGGAATTACATTTAAAGATATGTGAAGAATATTATTTATAAATAAAAATTAATAATAAGTCTGATTTAAAAAAAAATACATAATCTTACTTTAACAACAAATCATTTCATATTAATTTTTATTAGGCAACAATAGGTATCTTTTCGAGTCTTGATGTGATTCTCCCGTAATTCTTTCTTAAAAAAAAAATTGCACCACCTCACACTCATCATCAATTATTATTTCACTTTGCAAAGAACGTCATTATTTCGAGCTTTGAGGCGTCTCTTCGAAAAACACAATAAAGGATTTCGTGGAGGCAAAGGTGAATCTTACAATTGATGTGACGTAAGCTAAAAACCCCTTAAACCCCCTTCTACCGGTTGATGACTTGAGTTGAATTTCAATGTTATTCTCTGCAAAACCCTAGTTATCGTTCTTTCGATTGGAGGCTGACGCCATGGACGAAGTCCACGAAGGACCACCAAATAGAGAACTCTATGCACTCTTAAACTTGTCGCCAGATGCCTCCGATGAAGAAATCCGAAGAGCTTATCGTCAATGGGCACAAGCCTATCACCCTGATAAATACCGAGCTCCCCATGTATGCTACTCTGATAGCCTCTTTCGGGATGCACAATAGAGAGAATGTGGTTTTTTTTTTTAATGTATTTTTTTATAGTCTTGAAGTTGCAGTCTCAAGTTTTGGTTTTAATGGCTACTCTCAGATGAAAGACATTGCTACTGCAAACTTTCAACGCATTTGTGAAGCGTATGAAGTTTTGTCGGATCCAAATAAAAGGCAAATATATGACATATATGGCATGGAAGGTTTGACCTCTGGTCTGGAACTTGGTTCGAAGCTGGATAAAGCCGAAGAGATAAAGGCTGAATTGGAGAGACTACGGCGAATGAAGGAGATGCAAAAGATATCAGCACATTTTAGAACTTCTGGTACAATTCTGGCCAATATGTCTTTGCCACGCTTTCGAAATGGCGATGGCTTCATGAGAGGGTATTGCTCAGTTCATTATATTTCTTCATCACTTCTTATTGCCAACTATCCTCATCCCTCAAAATATTTGATATTGAACTCGTTAAGTAATCAACGGAATGCTTTCTGACTTAGTCTATCAAACATCATATTTGTTAAAGGCAATGTGTTAATACTGTGCTTCCTTGTTGGAAATGTCGGAGAGAAACTCTGAATTCAACAGAGGTAGCATGCCTTAAGTGGCAAGGGAAAATGACAACGAAATATGTTGTCATTTTTCAGCTGCTCATTTTCATTCTAACTAAAGCATATTCATTCCCTTACTGGCATATCAATAGCTAGCTGTCATTATTGTGATTATGTCTTTGAATAACATCTTTATTATTCTATCTGACGGTTCATACCTTCTTTTGTGGCTATGAATTTCAGAATGGCTATGACCAGTGAAGTCCAGTCTCGGTTATCAAAACGTAATACTATTGCAATTGGCGGCAATTTAGCAGTTAATGGCAATGCAGGTGGTGGGGCTGCTACTGCCCTATTTAGGCATGAAATGTCGGAAGTTTCTTCTGTAGAGTTTATGGCTTCAACTGGGTTGCGTGCATTGATAGGGGTGCAAACAACACGGTAGGTCATCCACTTCTTGTTAGCAGCATGAATTTGCCAGTTTTTGAATGTCAAGTTGAATACTTCTTTGTTGACATATTTCAGTCAACTATCAGCACATTCGGCTGCAACAATGGGCCTTGCTATGTCTTTGCAAGATGGTTCATTGAATCTTTCTAATTCATGGAACCGCCAACTGTCAGAAACAACTAGTGGAAATGTATGGTATTTATTTACTCCAATCTTTTATTTTCCTTTTATTTTACCTTTTCAGTAGGGTATGCTTCATTGATAAACCCTGGGATTTGGGGGATGATACATTTTGGAACCGTGACGAACAAATGTGACATATTCTGGAGATGTATGGACTACCAATTAATGTGTTAAATTAAAGCTAAATTTACATAATGATAACAACGAAAAAAGATCAATTACTTTCACAAGCTGTTGAAATTTGTTACTGTCATAGTAGGTGCCCTCAGTCTTTGACATTCATTCGAAATGCAAAATAATAGGACTTACGTTGTCTAAGAAAGTAATTATTCATCTACTGATTTTGCAAAACTTGGGGAAACATAGTGATTTCTCTGTTATTCCCACTCCTCAACCAGCAAGTGAAATAGTGAACATTTATTGTTCTTGTTAGAAAAGAAATCTGGGAACCTTTTATCTTTAAAGGTCTTAGCTAGCCATTTACATGTAGATATTAAGAATACCTAAGAAGTTTTTCGTTGAAAATTTGTCTTGCGTGAGCAACACTAAGCCATATTCAATGCATGTGTTAGTAATCATTGAACTGTGTTACTCATTCATGCTGTGCGCTGTCAGCCAAGAGCAGTACATTTATAGAGAAATTTAGGCATGCCACACAGACTATCCATGCGTTTATACCTTTCTGGAGCACTGATATAAGATTGATAAATGTAAACTATCTAACTTTTATCAGTTAAATTCTGCACAAGAAGTTGGCCACAATAAACCAAATCGTTTTGGGCACAATACCAAAGCATAAAATTTAAGAATGGACCTCCCAAAAACAAGGGGCGCGGGGGGCTGGGAAAAGTACAGAACATTAAAGGATGTTCTAACATAAGTGAAGACACTAACAATTATTGAAATATCTTACATCCGTCATTCTTTCCATGTCATCTGTTTTACAGATACAACTTGCTTTGGGACCACAGTCATTCATAGGTGTAGGTTGGCAAAAGAAAGATGAAAGAAGATCTGCCTCAGGAGAAGTGAAGGTACTTCTTGTTTTCTGCATAGCTAAGGTTAATTTATGAATTATTTACAAGTTGGTGGATCGGATGACTTTGTGTTATGATTGAACAATGAAGAGCCATGGACCTTCAACCTTCTGATCAACAGTGTGTATTAAACCAAGTTCTTCTAGCTGTATTTGTATATAGATGGATTGTGATGTGTAGAATAGGAAAGAATAGAGAAGAATAGGAGAGAGACGAGAGAGATAGAAGGAAAGAGAGAGGATTTCTGAATAGTACTCGGGAAATATTATTTCAAGCATACCGAACAATTACATATAGTCTCTTTATATAGGTTCCCCTAGGGTGCTGAATAGGATTAACGGTCACGGTCTAACGGTAACTAACCATTTCTGAATTATCCTCTAATTATCTAGTTTACACATCAATATCCCTCCCTCAAGAACCCTTGACTTCAAGGGTTAGAAATGACAAAACTAGGGTGCTGTTTCTGTAACTGAAACGAAGAAATCCAGCTAGCCTCTTCATCTGGAAGGTTCTTCCATTTCACAAGAACTTCTGTAATAATCTTGCCTTTTCTTCTACCCCTCCGTTCATTCAATATTTTTTCTGGAATCAAATCTGCAGGAGATTCTGGCCAATCATAGGGGGATGCTGCTGCTTTACTGAAGGATCAGGACATAATTTGAGCAATGAAACATCAAAAGTAGAGTGAACCCTTGATTCTGGAGGTAATTCCAGCTTATACGCCACTGGCCCTATCTTCTTGCAGATTCTATAAGGCCCAAAATATCTTGGGGCTAATTTCTGAAAGCTTCTTGAGGCTGTAGAAATCTGACGATAAGGCTGTAATTTAAGAAATACCCATTTTCCTTCCTCAAACTCTCCATCACTTCTGTGCAAATCTGCTTTCTGCTTCATTCTATTCACAGCCCTATTGAGATCATATTTCACCATTGCTAAGTCTCTGCTCTTGCTGAAAAAGTTCTGTCAATAGCTTCTACTACCACATCTCTAGGCAAATATGGAATGTGCATAGAAGGAACCTGTCCATACAACAGCTCATAAGGAGTAGTTTTTGTAGAAGTGTAATGGGATGTGTTATACCACCACTCCTCTAAAGAAAGCCATTTGTGCTACTCTTTAGGTCTTTCCCAGCACATACACCTCAGATAATTTTCCAAACAACAATTAAGCACCTCTGACGGCCATCTGTTTGTGGGTGATATGAGGAGGTAAGCTTTTGTTCCACTCCCAAAACCTTCAAAAATTTCCTCCAAAAATTACTGATAAAGAGGGGATCTCTATCGCTAATAATCTCCACAAGTGACCCATGCAATTTGTACACATGGTCTAAAAATTGCTGTGCCAAGGTAGATGCTATAAAAGGATGAGATAAAGACAAAAAGTGTGCATATTTACTGAAATGATCAATGATTACCCAAATAGTGTCTTTCCCATTTGATTTGGGCAGCCCTTCTATAAAATCCATAGTCACACTCTCCCAAACTCGACTTGAAATAGGTAGAGGCTGTAGCAACTTTGGATAAGCCACTGATTCAGACTTACATCTTGCACAAGTATCACAGTGCTTTACAAACTCCTTGATGTCATCAAATAATTTTTGCCACCAAAACAACTTTTTGACTCTTTGATAAGTAGCTTGTACACCTGAATGTCCTCCTTGTGGACTTGCATGAAGCCATTCCAATATTTTCTGCCTTACACTAGGAATATTTCCCACCACTAATCTGCCATTCCTTCTTAAATGCTGACCATCCCAAGAATAGTTGCCTTCTACACCTCCCTTCTATTTTAAATGAGCTTTTAAAGCTCGCAAATCAACATCCTCATCCCAGCTCTTTTGGATTTTCAGAAAAAGGAAATCTGAACAAGTCTGCCAGGATACTTGGAAAAACTCACTCTTTGGCATCCTTGAAAGAGCATCAGCTGCATTATTGTCGTTGCCTTTTCTATAATGTATTTCATAATCGTGCCCCATAAGTTTGGTCACCCAATACATTTGAAATGCAGTTTTAAGCTTCTGATCTAACAAGTATTTAAGACTTTGCTGATCAGTTTTAATGATAAACTGCCTTCCTTCAGCATATTGATGCCAATGTTCCACAGCTTGTACTACCCCCAACAATTCCTTCTCATAGAGAGATTCAGATGTCTAGGAGCCAAAGCCTTGCTGAAAAAGGCAATAGGTTGACCCTTTTGCGTTAGAACAGCACCAATGCCCGAGCTACAAGCATTAGTCTCAACCACAAACACTTGTGAAAAATCTGGAAGGGCAAGAACAGGGGCTGCCACCAGTGTTTCTTTCAACTTTTTGAATGTTACAGCAGTCAATTCTGACCAATGAAAGTTATTCTTCTTGAGCAGTTCAGTTAGGGGCTTAGTTAAGGAACCATAACCCTTAATAAACCTCCTATAATAACCCACGAGTCCCAAAAATGATCTTAGTTGTTTTATTGTGGTTGGTTCAGGCCAATCCATGGCTGCTTTGATCTTCTTGGGATTGGTTGAGACAACTCCTCCACTTATAATGTGTCCCAAATATTCTACTTGTGTTGCAGCAAAAGTACACTTGCTTTCCTTCAAAAAAAAAAAAAACAATTTTTCCTTAGAATTTCCAGAACCAAACGCAAGTGTCGTGTGTGAGATTCCAAACGGGAACTATAAATCAAAATACAATCAAAGAAAACTAAGACAAATTTTCGTAAATATTCCCTGAATATACTATTCATGGCACCTTGAAAAGTTGCGGGTGCATTAGTGAGCCCAAAAGGCATCACTAACCACTCATAGTGACCCAAATGAGTATGAAAGGCTGTTTTGTAGATGTTTGTAGGCTCCATTCGAATCTGATGACAACCAGCCCTTAGATCTAGCTTAGTGAACCATTTAGCAGCCTGTAATTCATCCAAAAGCTATTCCACAATCGGAATAGGGTATTTATTCTTGACTTTCCTCTTGTTAAGTTCTCTATAATTGATGCACATGCGGCATGATCCATCTTTCTTTTTCACCAACACAATTGGTGAAGAAAATGGTGAGCTACTTTTCTTGAATGATTTGAGATTGTAACAGCTCCTTCACCATGTCTTCAATGGCATTCTTTTGAGCTGCTGGATATCGGTAAGGCCTTAAATTGACTGGATTAGAACCTTCTTGTAGAATAATAGGATGGTTGTGGCCCTCTCTCAAAGGGGGAAGAGTTTTAGGCTCCTTGAATACATCTGAAAATCCCAACAACAATCCTTGAACAGCTTTTTCAGAACCACTCTTCCCCTGCAACTAAAAATAACACAGCTCTTCATCCTCCTTTTCCATTAATTGCAGCATAAACATCTGTCCTCCAGCTTCTAATTCATTTTCAATCTTTTTAAAATCAACAATTTTACACCCTATAGATCCTTGAGACTGCAATTTACATATTTTCCCATTATATTGGAAGGTCATGGACAAATTGTCATAATCCCAATGAGCCTGATGAATGGTTTTAAGCCAAGATAAACCTAAAACCATGTCATAGGTCTTGACTTCCATTATCTGAAAGTCTCCTTCGAACTCCTTACCCTGCATCTTCCACTTCACCCCTTTTAAAATCCTATATACTTTCAATTTTCTACCCCCTGCCACTTCCACTTTTGCCACAGGTTTGAAATCACCCTTCCAACCAAGCTTCCTAGCCAAGTCAGTCCGTGTAGGCATGAGAAGCTCCATTATCTATGAGAATTTGTACTTGCCTTCGACCCACATATCCTGGAATTCTTATAGCAGAGGGTCCTACGCTTCCTTGTATGGCATGTAGTGAAATTTGCAAACATTCAGAGTGCTCTGGTACGTATTTGAATTTTCCTAGTGCTTCAACTTCTGGATTCATGTCCTCGTCAGCTTCCTTGAGCCTCTCTTCCAATTCAATGAGTTGCAATTGCATCCTTTGAGTCTGAGAACATATATGGTCCTTGGAAAAAGGTTGCCGACAGTGGAAGCATAAATTTTTGGCTCGTAATTCCTTTACTTCTTTTGGGGCCAGTGTTCATGTGTTGATGGAATTTATTCTTGAAGACCCAGCACCTGCGTGAGAAGAAACAAAGGCAAAAGAAGCTGTCTTGGGTGCGAAAGAAAGAGAATTAGAAGACTGGACTGTTTTACCCTTACTAAAAGAAGATCCAACACTGCTAGATGGAGTCTTCGCATCTCTCCACCTTGTTGACCCTCTCTGCTCACTTGGATAAGTATCCAAGACACCCCCTTATAGTCTCGACTCTGAGTTTCAAACCCACTAAAGCAAACGCTGTCTCGAATCTGTGCCACGTGTCTTCGTCTGTGCTTTCTAGCAATTTACCTCATGTGTACTTGCTATATTTCTTGCTTCTCGTAACGTTCTTTGTTTAAACATCCGAACCTAAGCTGCAAATTCTTCCTCCAAGCTCGCTGTATATGTTTGAACAAGATAGTCTTCTGAAAGTTTGATCTTGCAAGTTATGGCATCAAACTCATCATCGAATTCCTTAAGATAACATGTTTGTCAAAGCTTAATGAGATCTTCCATGGAAGCCTCATAGGTGGGTCTGAATCTCTGCTTCAGTTCTTCCACATATTCCTCCCAAGTCTATCAGCCACCTTCATCTGACGCAGTAAGTCTTTGATGCCATTGCCACGCCTTCTCATCAAGGTGCAAACTTGCCATAAGCACCTTCCAATCTTCAGGTGTGTTATCTATTTGAAAATAGAATTCACACTTCAAGATCCACCCCAAGATATCACTTCTTTGGAATCTGGGAAACTCCATTTTTGTAAAACGCGTGCGAGGCTGGTACTCCTAGTTTTTTGGTCTTGGTCGTCCTCTGTGCTGGTTATGACTTACACGCCCTTCATCGGATGTATCAGTACGATCATGTACTATCTGAGCAATGTGATTGGTGAGAGCTTGGACGTCACTTGGGAGATTAGCCAGCTTGGCAAAGGTGTCTTCCAGTGCACGAAGTCGGTCCTCACTGTTATCTGCCATGGTATGTTGCAATCTCTGTGATCTCGTTTTAGGCATACAGGCCAAGCACCGCTAGCTCTGATACCACTGATGTGTAGAATAGGAAAGAATAGAGAAGAATAGGAGAGAGACGAGAGAGATAGAAGGAAAGAGAGAGGATTTTTGAATAGTACTCGGGAAATATTATTTCAAGCATACCGAACAATTACATATAGTCTCTTTTTATAGGTTCCCCTACTGTGCTGAATAGGATTAACAGTCACGATCTAACGGTAACTAACCATTTCTGAATTATCCTCTAATTATCTAGTTTACACATTAGATTGATATAGGACATTTAAACCTCATAAGAAATTTACATGATATTTAGCATGCTTTAATTTATTTAAAGGGAAGCACACATTCTTATGTATGCATACAAAGAAAGACTAGATTGCAGACTTGATTATTGTATTTGCTTTATAGCTCTAGGATTTCACTCACAGTTGAAGTTGCAAATTTTGTGGGCGACATTACATCAATGATGTGATTGAGAACATGTACATCCTCTGAAATCTGAATGCAGCCTCTAACAAGTCTTATAGGTTACTAGTCTAAAATGAATGAAAATCACAATAGAAAACGCCCATGGCAAGGCAAAGCAATATAATATGCTTCATGATAAGGCTTGGTCATAACTCATCACTCATGAATGAGCTTCCTTTCAATAGCTTCTTAGCTTGAGCTTCTCCTTATAGAAAATTTAATGTTCATCTATTTCTTTACACCAACTCTTTCTCTACTTATGTAGTTTGGCACAAGTTCTTTTGACGTAACAGCTCATTATACGCATCACTTGTCTTCCAAATCTCATGGCCGCATTGCAGGCAGAATTGGGAGGTATGCTTTTTTATGTAAATTCACTTGATGTCCTCCCTAGTTTATGGTTTTGTTACTTGAGGCGAAAGAATCTCATGGCATTAACATTAGAATCTTGGCATCTAATCAAGGTTTTAAAAACTGGATTGGCTGGTTCAACTAGTTGAATCGGGAATCAGTTGGGTTTGGTCCGGGTGAGGCAGAAAAACTGGGGAGTAAATGAACCAGAAAGCAAGCTGGTAAAACTGGAAAAAGTGACCAGTTAACTGGTTTGGCTGGTTCAAGGGAAGGGATTTTTTTTTTTTTTTGGGGGGGGGTGGAAGAACCAGATGGGAGAGGTGAGAGAGAAGATGAAAATGAAGGGGATGAAAGAGATTTACAAAAAAAAAAAAATTAAGAAAGAAGGCATTTTGCAGAAAAACACGACCTTAGATGTGATTTTCCAGTCACAAAAACTACCTATTATGTCATTAAAACCATCAGGCAGGAAGAAAGTTGAGGAGCTGTTGTTTGAGACCCTTGATGGCAGAGAGAAGGAAAGAAGACGATGAACGTTTAGATGAAATTGGGGGGTCTTGACTTTGTATTCTGAGAAAGTGGGCCCCATGACAACCGAGATAATGCACGTACAAGGATAACAAATCAATTTATTTTCATTTTCATCCTCTTATCCGTACGGTTTCCCTCCTCTCTCCGCATGAATGATCAATTTTAATATTATTACTATTTTAACTAAAGGAGTATCAGGCGGGAAACAATTTGGAATGAGAGGGAGATAAAATCATTTATTTATGAATTCATATTAATACCATTAAATACTATTTATGTTTATAGAATATGAGAAGATGAAATGAAATCTATTAAAATATTTATCTCGAAAAAATAAATAGAAATATTTATAAATAATTTATTTTTTTTATTTTTATATGAATATTTTTAGTTAAATATGAACTTTTATGATCGTAAATGGATTTATTATATGGTTTTTATATATTATTTAAAAATATTAAACTAATTATGTCAAATTTAGCCACAGTTCAACTATGATCTAATCTTTAACCTTTAAACCAATGCTTTGCCCGGTTCAATAACCGATCCGGCTTTTGAAACCTTACCTCAAATACTCAATGTCAAATAATAATTTGATGTCTGACAATTTGCTTATGACTATTTGATGGCATATTTGGTGAAAGCTTGGACACAAACCCAGTTTCCTACTAGATTGCTATGTATTGTTCACAATATGTTTCACAGCTTTTTATTATATTTTTGGCCGAAAACACAGCTTTTGTATTAAAAAAAGCAGTTTCTCTTGCATTCCCTGAAAGTAATATGCTTCTCTCCACGTTTTATCAGTGGTTCCGGACTTATAGCATCCATAATTGTATATGATGGCCTTGCTTTTGTGAAATATAAATTTGAGTGACTGGCAGAGAAGAAAAATTCCATCAGTGTTAGATGGGAGTGACGTAACTGTAAGGCTTGGTTGAGAACTAGTGTTTGCATATGTAATAAAAATCAGTTATAATAAATTTCTTTTCTTAGTGTGAGAAACTTGGGAATAAGTCTTTTTGTATATTATTAGATCATGCAACTCGTTGATGCTATATTGTGGCCTTCTAACTCAGTCTTGACTAAATTAGTCCTGAACTGGTGCTTGGTTTCTGTTCTTCCCCCTTAGCACTAGATCATGCCATGAGAGGTTTCTCAACGCTATAGTGACATTGCTGACAGTGTCTCTTCTTTTATTTATTGAAGTTCTTCTTGATGGGGTTGGGAAGGATTAACTGTGGCGCACCATTTGTTCACTCGAACAAAATGCAACCTAATTTGAAAGCAGGGCAAGATATTAATAACAAGATCATTGTAGAGGTCTTAGTTATGGCACTGCTAAGCATCTTCTTACTATAATATTCAATTCACTTGATGTGTCTTATCTCTGGTAAAATGTGAGTACTATTTTCTTTAATTCATTTTTGCACCTTATATCTTCAACTGTCATAATATATATTTTTGTACTAGTAATGATTTATTACTCCATCTCATCAGTCGTCATTATAGTTATCCTCATGTATTATTGTCATGTTTTTGTTTTTGTGCTGTTTCTTTCTTGACATTGCACATTTAATCTCCAGTTCAACCCTTGAGATTGAAATTGGTGGCGGGAGGAAGTTATCCAAATTCAGCACTGTCCGCTGGTTGTATACAATAGGAATTCAGGTAACGCATTTATTTATTTATTGAAAATTGTGATTTTAGCTAGATATAGCTTGTGCTTTGCACGAATATGAGATGAGATATACTGCATGTAGCTTATAAATAGTGCTGTTTCTTATAGATTCTTATAGATACTTTAGTCTCTCTCTCTCTCTCTCTCATATGGTGAATTAACATGACATGGACTTGTGGTAAAGCTTATCTAATCTGTTTTCACCTGTAAACTTAGCTATAATTATGTCCTTTGATGCCAAGTTCAATCCTCACACCCCATTCATCAACGTTTTTTGGGTTATCGGAGAATTTGTTGTCATGGACTACTGAGTTTACAAATCAAGTTTAGGTGGTTTATTGTGAGATTGTAAACCAGAGTGAAATAATAGGATGAAGATATTGTATAACATCTTAGGCATATGAGTGGTGGGAAGGAAACGTGTTGGTCAACTTTGTTAGAAACTGTTTTTTATTTTCTCATCATTTGTATGATTCTCACTTACAAATTGTCACTGAAATGGCTATCTTATAATCAAACGTTCCTTTTTATATAATTTTCTGCTGAGAAGTAGTGATTTAAATGTAAATGTTATGTTAAATTTAAAAAATGTGTATTAATGAAATGAAATCTGAACAGGATCTGGCATTACTATTTGTTTGAAGTCTCCTACAAATAAAGCTTTTTGATAGAGTTTTGCATCTCTTTTAAGATTATTTTAAAGTCCATTGGGAGCTTTTAGGTGGATTTACTTTAATGACTAATTCGGCAACAATTCAGTGACATAGTTTATGTTGCTGATTGTAGTGGAAGAGATAGAATTTATGATTAATCTTGGGGAGAAACACCTGTTGAATATCCTCTGTATTTTGTTCTAGTCATTGTTAAAATGATTTTCTTGTTTTGATTTGCTTTAATATTATGAAACCTTTGTGTATTGGTTGTACGTTCCTCTCAAGTTGTAGGCTTATGCCCATTTTAAACCTTTTCAGGGTATTATTTGGAGATTTGAACTGCATCGTGGTGGCCAAAAGTTAATTATCCCTGTAAGCACAATCTTGGTGCTTTATGTATTTTGCCCAATGGTTACAATTTCATTAGTCGTTTGTGCCTTTCTACTTAAACACAAAGTTTTGCTGTGAAGTTATTTTCTGTAAAGCACAGATATAAAATACAATATCGCTACAGCATGGATATGGGGAATGTTGCAATTTCTTAAGAAAACAAGATACAGGAATACTGGGATACGCTAAAATTTATAATCAGATCTTTTCAATATCTAGCAAAATAATTATTACAGTCAAGGACAGTATAGCACTAGCAAGTAGCAACATGGAAACAGTACTCTACCTATCATCACATTGCATTGTAATGAGCCACATCATTGATATAACTTTTTCAAAAGGTATAAAATGAACAGATGAAGGATTGTCCTATAGCAAGATATTAAACATGAAATGGAGGCTTTGATCGTAGTCTTCAAAGAAATTGTCCTGAAGACAAACATCTGAAACACAGAGAAGAGGCCCTTGCGGTGACTGGCAGTCAAGCTTCACTCCTTCGGATCCCCAGAGATGGTGTGTTTCTGGGCAGATTCAACCTTCACAGGCTTCCTTCCTATAGCAATGAAAACAGCAAAAACATGATGTAAACAAAAGACTAAGCAAGATTTTATCTAGCTGAATCCCTAGAGGGTATTCTTTCAATGTGAAAATTTGGTTCAACTACAAATGGTTTACTTTAGTGGAAAAAAAGGGGTGTTTTGTTCAATATACATATCTAGCCATATCTAGTTAAGTGAAGTCATATCCCATCCATCTCGTTAATGTATCTGTGCTATAGAGAAATGGATTTGGATATGTCTAGAATATGTTGCCAAGTGTATCCAACACTAGTTTGCACATATGGGTACTTCTCAGGTTATTTTCTTGAGAGCATACATATCCAATAAAAATGACAGCTGTTATTTTTGGTTGAGAGATTTCAAATAAATGTTGAGGCTGTTATAGTAGGCTTTAATCATCCGGTTATATTGTGATGTGTACTATTTATTCTGCTTGGACCTAAAGGTTCCACTTTTCCGTTAGTTCCAGGCTACTTTTTGTACCGGTTGTTTAGTAGTTAATTTGTGACAGGATGAAATTACTAGCAAACTCTTCGGACAAGAATGAAACAAAAAATCTGCTCATTTCACTTCATCTTTGGTTATTAACTTGTTACCATTTACTTATGAGTTATTGCTTGCAGGTTTTGCTAACCAGACATTTGAACCCTGTCTTTGCTAGTGGAGCACTGATTATTCCAGCATCTTTTTACTTCCTTTTGAAGGTTACTGTTGATAATTAACTTCTTTGGCAATTTAAATATTCCAAGGTTCCATACTGGTTTATTTTTGTGAGGGCCTATAAATGTCTATATTCAATATATTGTTAGAATACCATTTATTAAGAAAACATGTTGCTGTAGTCTGCTTTCCTCTTATCTGTTAATATATTAGCTGGCCAGATCATTAATTTTGTGGAAATTTATAGTCGCATAATTGGCATCTTCATGCTTGCCTCTTAAAATATAAGCAATTCTGAGAAATTTGGTATCTTACTTTAATTTTCCAGTTAAAGAACCCATATTCGTGTGCAAATATTTTTCCTCTTTAAATTTTAAGTGTTAGTTTACTTTTTTCAGTTCATCTGGCTTCTGCATTAAGGTTATCAACCTTATACCTGCATGTCCCAGCGTGTGTGTCATCTCTTTATCAGAGAACCTGATGATAAACAACTAGTAAATTTTGTTGATTCTGGTTCTTCTGTGTACATATCTGATCCCTCCTATACTGAGCTGTGTATGGAGGGGCTTGAATGAACTGGAAGGACTGAACTGATAGGAAATAAGTAAATCTCTTAACAACATTTACAACTTCTACAGTATAAGATGAAGAAATACTAGCAAGCAAATAGCTCTTACCAATTTTCACTCCAATTTTTCTGATTCTGAAATAATACAAGGAAGAAATAATCAAGATTAACTATCTAATTTTCAGATAGTATGTTTCTTTGACATATGATCTCTGTGTGTGCAGAGATTTCTAATTAAACCTTATTACATTAAAAGGAACAAGCAGAAGGCTGTAGAGAATGCAGAGAAAACTTCTGCTCAGGTATGGATGACTGATGTGCCTACAGTGGTTACTTCTATTCTCATCTTGTATAACTATTTTGTTCAGCTGCTTTCAATCCTCATGTTGAAATTCTCTGTCAATAGCCGACCACTGTTATAACCCTGAAGCCTATTATGTTGAGGCCCAAGTATTCTATTAAAATCTGAAAAATGTCTTCACACAGAAGAGCCTTTCAGGCTTTGAGCATGTTTAAAGCTTAGTGTGTGGAGGGGCTTAGCATAAAATTTGTGATACCATGCCTAGAACCTTTTTCAACACGAAGGCTTTAGTTGCTGTACGGCCTAGATTGACTCTATTAATATTCATGTCAGTTATGAATGAAAGAAGTTGTTCACTGTGACGAATGGCAAGTGCTAAACACTTCCACTCTAGTAATTCATGGATGTGTATCTGTAGCTTTTCAATGCATAGTACAAATTTATTTATGTGCTTATATGAGAAAATCTTAATTTAAGCTGATGGAAATGTCTTTGCAAAGATCCCAAGATTATTAATCCTTGTAGTTTGCACATTTTTGGGATCGTGGTTGTTGCGTGTCATGGATGGATCTATTTTTCTTGCAGTTTACTTCTTTGACCTTTGTGTGAATATTCATGTATGGTATAGACTTTGATGAGGTGATGGTGTTTAGTGTCATTTTAAATTGGGTGTGTGATTTATGCCCCAATGTCTGAAATTTTTACATTAGATAGTGAATACCCATGCTTGGTATGTCCGCGTCATATCTGACTACCCTTTTTTGGATGCATGCTCTCTAATTACACTACTAATAAGTTTATAGCTTGATTCTTCAAGAATTTATGAGATGCCAATCAAGAAATGAGAAACACATTCTTGAGAATCTGTTGAAATTTGGAGTAGGGGAACCTCAAGTAATTGATACAAGGCTTGGACAAGGAAAGAGGGACTTGAATGAAAGATTTTTATTGCTAACCATGACAATAATTTTCACACACTTTCTTTTGAGTTTCCTAACTCTTACACTCTCTGACTATATATCATGTCACTCTTCCTGAAACACTCACTCTTCTTTTTTCGTCTCTTCACACTTACTTTCTCTCACATTTGCGTGCTTCGCTCAGCACTTCTTGCTCACTTCACTTGCTGGCTTCTCTTTTCTGCTCACACACATTCACAAGTACACCCACACATATTTATAGGTGGTGAATGGCGATGATTGCATTTGATCCAGATCCTTCTTAATTTATTTTTTATTTCACCACCTTTGATATTCTTGGAGAGAAAGAAATCCCTGACAATCTAGAAAGATATGCTCGCTCAAAAAATTTTGAATTTTGTCTGTGAACAAAAGAAGTATTTGGAGCTTGCCGGTTGAGAGAGAGAAGGTTCTAGAGAGAAATCTGGAGGAGGGAGTATTTTAACACTCCCCCTCAACAGCTACTCTCTTAATCTCTTTGTGATTCTGCACTACTTTAGGAAGTTTGCTATCTTTGCTCGTCCAAGTGACTTAGTGAATACTGAATATGTTTGCAATTTGATTTTTGGTGTTGATTGCTTTCATCTTAATCTCACTTTCAAGCACCTTTTCTCTAATACAATGGTAATGAACCTCTATATGCTTAGTGCGAGCATGGAACACCAGGGTTCTCTGCAAGTCAAATGGCAGAGTGGTTGTTGCAATATAGCTTCACTGAATAATCTATCTCTTAATGCAAGTCTTCCATCAAGTGCATCAACCAGCTACTTTCTTGTGCTGCCATGGCTGGTGCTCTATACCCCGCACCTGTCCTCGACAGCAACACAGTTGGCTGTCTCTTGCTCAACCAAGAGATAGCTCTAGATCCAATATTAAAGACGTACTTGGGTGTTGAACGCCTTGTATTGCAGTCTTTGGCATAGTTGGCATCCCGTCTAGTTTGCACGCAACACCTTTCTTATATAAGATGCCATAATCAATAGTACCTTTGACTACCTACTAGTCTTATCTACCTAACTCTAACAAGAGACAGATTATTCAGTGAGCACATTATGACAACTAGTCTACCATTTGACTTGCTGAGAGCTTGATGCTTCACGCTCATACCAAGCATCATTACCATTACATTAGAGAGAAGGTGCTCAAAGGGGAGATTGAGATGAAAGCAATCAACACCAAAAATAAAATTGCAGACATATTTATGCAATCACTTGGAGGAGCCAGGATAGAAGAATTCATGGAGCAATGCAGAATGATGATAAGATTGAGATTAGTCATTGAGGGGGGGTGATAAAAATCAATGTCTCTCTCTCTCACCAGCAAGCACCAGAATTTTCTCCAGTTTTCTGGATATAGAGGAAAATGGAATGTCCGAGAAGGCTGGAGAGAGAACTCCCACTGACTTCCAACTACTATAAATAAGGAGCTCTGGTCATGTGTGTGAGCAGCAAAGAGAAGTAAAGAGTGAAATTGTGAGACCCTTGAGTGGAAATAGAAGGCAAGTGAGAAACGGAAGGATAAAAGAGTGTAGTGATAGTGAGTGCAAGTCTGTGATCTACATTTGAGAGTGAGAAAAGTAAGAGAGTGATGGTGAGTGTCATGTGTAAGAGAGATAAAGTGAGAAGGAAAAAGTGTATAGTGCCCATTTACTTGCAATGAAAGATTTCTTCCATTCAAGTCTTTCTTTCCTTGTCGAAGATTGCACCCATTATTTGGAGGTTCCCCCACTTAGATTCCAACAGAATCTTTTGTAATTTCAACTGTCTTACCAAATGTGAGGTTTTAAATTCCCAGTTTTTCATGTTTACATAGACTTTATATCTGGGAAGTTGTTGGTCAATGGTTACCAAACCTTGGGGTTTCTGCTTGTGATTGTTGAAAACTTGTATGCTGAATCTGTTTAAATCAGGAAGGTTATGAAAAGGTTGTTTTAGTGCATTTTGAACTTGAAAGTTGAAACTATATTGTTTACTTAATTTTCTTTGGTTTGATTGCACATTTATCATAAACTTGTACGACAATAAATGTTCGAAATCTGAGAAATGATGTATGTCTTGGGTGTGGTACACCCCTATTTCTGTCCTTTCTCTTTTCTCTGTTTCAGTAAACATTTTGGTAACCATAATTTCTGCAGGTTCAAGAAGCAAGAGCCTCAGCAGAGAAAGCTCAGCAATTACAATTAACTGTCGCTAATAGGAAAAGAAATAAACAATTAGAAACAGGCGGATTAGTTATTACAAGAGCACTATACGGAAATCATGTTATTTTGAAGAAGATAAATGCATCAAGTGAATCAAGTCATCAATCATCTTCAGAAGTCATAGATGTCACAATACCTCTCAATTTCCTTGTTAGTGATTCTGGCCAGCTCAAGGTATGTTTCTTTCTTTTATTTTGTCCCCTCCCTTGCCTTTTATGACAAACTATTGCAGACGCTTGTCAGTCATAAAATATAAATCACTTGCAACTTTGTTTTTTGTTCTTTCTACTCATCCTCGTGCATAAAAAGTGTTGCAGTAAATGACAAGGTGTGGACTACATCTGCATGATGAATGAAAACTGAATTATTTGAGTAACAGTATGAAGACAAGATAGGAACTTGCATCATGATAATTTTAGTTGAATTTTTTTGTTCAAAACAATAATTTCCTATTTTTGAGTTCACATCAAGACATGGGGCCTCTGGACATAGTAAAAACTTGTTTACATTCATTTGATTTTGGTAGAAAATATACGTGTCTTGTTTATTGAGAAGCTTAGTTATGTAAATAATCAGAAGTATAAACTTTCTTTGTAGCACAGTGAAGCAGTGATAACCTGTGGAAGGTTTTTCAAGGCGGCAAGTATTTAACATTAAGCACCTAATCTTTGATGTTAAATATAAGATTTAGGCCAAAAAGATCAATTAATTTATCACTACCTTAGCTAAGGGCTTCTTGGTCCCAAAAAAAAAAAAAAGCAGTGGGCTTCTATGGTTCTCATGGGATGAGCGAATAACATTTTTTTTTTAGTTACATCCATGTGCAATTGCATGTCCATTCTCCATAAATTCCATTTTGAGCGCAACCTGAAAGTGTTAACTTATTCATCATGTTGATAGTTTTTGGCAATTGTCAGTGTGGGCTATGGAGCACAGACACTTCAAAACGAGTCTTGTTTGTCTAACGCATATTGAAATGCTCAAGTTGAACACTACAGTGACTTGACACTTGAGACCTGGACGATTTAAATTTAGTTCTTTTGCACCTTATAATGCCTGAGCTTTTGGAAGACTGACAATTTGTGTATTCTTAAGCAATATGTCTTCAGTATCCTGGTTTATTTTTGCTGAAATATATTCAATCTCTTGATCAGCTTCATGAAGGCGTAAAAAAATCAGGCATCATGGGCTTTTGTGATCCATGTCCAGGAGAACCTAAAAAGTTGTACGTAGAGTACTCTTACTCTGGCAACCAATACAAGGTATCAACAACTTACTTTTATTGAAGGTTAAAATTTTTTTCTTTAAAGAAAAAAAAAACCTAATCTAAACTTTGAATCAGGTCCTGGTTGATGATTATGAAGAGTTATTGATACCCCGGGGCGTTCACAATATCTGAAGATTATTTACCTCGTGCAGTTTTTCGATGGTTTACGTGCTTGAGGTTCATCTCTTATAATTCATTTTCAATAGAAGAGGTGCCTCTTTCATAATTTTTGGCCATTGGTTGCGGGAAGCAAAAATCGTGTGTAATTGACGTCTTAATTATGTCGTTCTTTTGTTGGAAATTAGAATGATGGATAGAGAAGTTCCAAGAGGAGTAGGCGTAAATATTGCTGGGACTTTGATAATTCAAGCAAATACTGGCATTGCAACGCATTGGGGGAGAGGTACTCCCCATTTTTTTATCATCATTTTCTCTCCTCTTTTCAATTATGACCATTGAAATCACTGCATTAAATGAATTTGTCTGTCATAGATTTGATGAATGGTCATGACTAGAGAAGTGGAGGGAAAATGATGATAAAAAAACAAAGAGACTCCTCTTGTTAATGCATTGATGAGGACTAGGGTGAGTGGATCACAAGTTACAATTTTTCTGCGGGAATTTAGTGTAGAGGTGTACCATTATGTCAGTAACAGAGGAAGTTAAATTAATGTAGTTGAGGACCAAAGTGTCCTTCACTTACGTTGATAATCTTTCATTCTGATGGATAGAGCTTTTAATATTTTGGGGGGTCCTAATTCAATGCTTTGCCAGAAGATATGATAGCAATCAACGCTTTCTGCACCAAATTCTGATGAGAGCGTCCCCACGAGACGTTTATTTATTTGAAGAAAGATCTTTTTGGATGCTCAGTCACAGAAAGACTGAGTCAATAATTCCCTTCTGGCTGGCGGTGGCTTGAATGAGAAAATGAAGCAGCCATGTTTATAAGATGGTACACTGAATTCGTTGTATTCATGCTCAAGAGTCAATAACATCATACGTGGTCTCTTTGCTCAATGTACTCTCTGAATTATAATATAAATAATTGTGAACTAATTTGTGTTTGTTTTAAAAAAAGGTTTGGTGAAATTTTGATTTTATAAAAATTTTCACTTCCCTCTATTTGTGCCCTTGTATTGAATAAATGACATTTGACTTATTTAATATACCTTCATTAATTATTTGAATGAAAAATAATAAGTATATAATTAAAAATGATATATTTACCAATGCCTGTTTATGTTCGACCAATCAAGACTTTTAAAAATTGTCTTATGTTGTAGTATAAAATATTTTTAGAAGTGATTTGGTAATGTTAAAATATAAGAGATTTCAACAAAATAAGGTTATATTATATTTGTTTCGATGTTACCTTTTTTATTTTGGTATTATATTTTTTCTCTATTCAATATTTCACAAATAAAATTATATTAAAATGAAGGGTAGTTTTAAAAATTTATTTGTTTTAAAAAATAAGATTGTAAACTGTATTTAATAAATTTTATTAATATGTGTAATTTTATCAAAAAAAAATTTATAAATTGGGATTGAAGGAGTAGTGGATAAATCATACATTTAAATGCTGCTTTACAAGTTAATAAGGAGAGTGTAAAGTCAGATACTTGAAAAGGATTTGGCCCACATCATTTAACGAAGTTTCCAAGGACTTTAGGAGCATTTAAGTGACATTATGAGGAGCATATATTGCCGAATTGATTCACCTCATAACTCATAATTGATTCATTGGATTCTGACTATATATATATATATATATATATTATTGAGTTATATTTAAACACTATTGAAGTTATTTGAGGGTAGGACTTCTCATGTGATTTTTATATTCACAACAACTGAATTATTTACCTTGTATGAAATGTAAAATGACTCAAGTCCTTTACCTTGTATGACTTTTTAAGTTAAAAGAGATATTGGATCTTATGAATGGGAAAGAATGAATCACATGTTATAGATTTTAGGAAACATGTCAAAACAAAAATACCCTTAAAATATGCAAATGATAATTATTACTATGAAATATAATAATTATTATTTAATCCTCAAGAACTTGTCTAGCATTTTGATTTTTGACAAAATGACATATTTTCCTTCCCTGATTATTATAAATTGGGAAATAACTACTTTGATTGAGATATTGAGTAAAATGAAATAGAGAATAACTACTTTCTTTTTTTAAATTTGTTCATCAGTCAAGTGCAAGTATTAAAAATTAGTGACAATTATAATAAAAAAAAGTAGTCATTTTATATTCTATTTTAGTTAATAGCTTAACCAAAGTAGTCATTTTGCAACACATAATAGTCACTGATTTTTAGTATTTGCACTTGACTAATAAAATAAATTTACATAAACAAAATAATTATTTTCTATTCCATTTTAGTCAATATTTTAATTAAAGTGGTCACTTGCCAACGTGTAATAGTCAATGAGGCCAAATATATTATTTTATTAAAAAATAAAATGTCAGACAAGTTTTTTAAGAGCTAAACAATAATAATAATCACATTTCGTGGTACTTAATTATCATTCCCATGTTTTGAGGTTTTTTATTTTACAATTTTCCCTAGATTTTATATTGATGTATCGTATTTGATGTGAAAGAATTCAAGTTTTTGTTTGCATGGCTCTTGCTCAAATTTTCTCTTGGATAAGGATATCATGGTAGGAGGCAAAAGCATGGGTGTCAAGTTAAACTGATTGTCAATAAAATGACTCACACTCTGTCCCATTTCATTGTGACCATTATTATTTTCTGGCACTTGACATCATATCAATATTGTGTTATTGTTTACTAGCCAGCATGCTTGCGTGGAGACTATAACTAGCGGACAAAGGCTAATATAAGTGGATTTGAAATATACAAATGTATCTTGTGACACAATCAGACACTATCCGATCTTGGTGATTTTAGATTCTGTCTGATCTCGCATCATATTACTTGTAATCGAAAAAAGAAGCAAAAGAAACCAAAAGGGCCAATGGATTGGAAGAAGGAAAAAATATAAAAAAAATTTTAAAAAATTAATCATTTAATCTCTATATTTTGATTCAGTTGACAATTAATTTTTAAATTTTGAGTAAATATAACTCAGTATTTATAATTTTAACTCATTTAAAATTCAGTCACTAGACTTTAACTCTTATGATTTAGTAATTATAATTTTATCTATTTAGAATATCAATCCGTACATTTTAAAAAATAAAATTAAAAAAATAAAAGTATTATTAAAACTTAGGAATTAATGTTTTAAATAATTAAAATTATATGGATTAAGTTGTATTAAGTTAAAATTTAAGGATTGAATTATAATTGAATAAAATTATGAAAATTATATTATACTGGGTTAAAATTGAGAATTAAAATGATAAAGGGCTTGTTTGGCAATCTATTAGGAGAATAGTATCTTATTCTTCATAACGAACAAAAAATTATTTTCAGAGTGTTTTAGAAAACAAAAAAAAATTAAATATTGTTCTCGAGAATAGAAAAATAAGAGTATCTTTTAGGTGTTTTGTAATTATTATTTTAGATAATAAGTAAGGATGCAAAAAAAAATATATTTTCATCATTTTTTAGAACATATTTTATAATAAAATAATTTTTAAATTATTATTAAAAATTAGGGATTAATGTTTTAAATAATTAAAATTATATGAACTAAGTTGTATTAAGTTAAAATTTAAAGACTGGATTATAATTGAATAAAATTATGAAAATTATATTATATTGGGTTAAAATTGAGAATCAAGATGATTAAGGGCTTGTTTCATAATCTATAGGAGAATAGTATTTTATTCTTCATAAAAAAAATTGTTTTTAGAGAATATTTTAGAAAATAAAAAAATAAAATATTGTTCTCAAGAGTAGAAAAACAAGAGTATCTTTTAGGTGTCTTGTAATTATTATTCTAGATAATAAGTAAGGGTGCAAAAAAAAAATCTATTTTCATCATTTTTTTAACATGTTTTATAATATATTAATTTTTAAAATAATGAAATAAAAACAATTTATCTCTCATTTTACCAAAATCTTAAAAAGGAAGCCGCAGGTCGCAGTTCAAGCCTTGAATTTGAAGGCTAAAATTGTATCCAACCTTGTCCGAATGAATGAATGAATTATTAATCTAAATAAATTTTTTTTCTTTTCAAAAACCAGTCAGCTTGAAAGAGAAATTTGGACTAAATAGTAATTAGTGTAGCACCTTCACCTAATCCTCGAAAATTATTGATCCTAAGTTGAAAGGCTAGCTAGCCACACACTGTTTCTTGAAAACTCTCTTCTGACTTTTTTTTTTTTTTTTGGGTGAAAGTATAAAACATGAGAGGTTCATGTCGATTCAACTTTTTCTCAACTTTTTGTTTCTTTCTACCTAAACAAAACGTCGTTTGAGACACGTCATGTTATCTATGAGAGATGCGACGCAGGTCCCTTCCCTGGACCAACCATTCTTTCATTACCAAAATGTTGAAAGAGAGTTCGAATATCATTATCAACATTGTTGCAAATCACTAATTCATTACCAATGTCGAAAGAGAAATTCGCATATCATGATTTATATTATTGAATTTGTTAGGATGTTTAAATATGGATGAATTTGAGTCAATGTACAAAGTCAAATTAAATTTAATTAGTAATATATAATAAAATAAAATATCTCATAAACTTGATATTGATGTTTTGAATTAGAATGCAATGTAATACTATTTACCTATTTGATTTAGTGTGAGTTGACTTGAGAAGTCTTACATTAAATAAAATTAAGTTTGATGCTTAATATATACTCCCTTCATTTAAAAAAATATAAAATATTTTTAATTAAATTTTACCTCTAAAAAATTAGTTAACAGTCTTCAACTTAACATCATTTTTTCATGTTTATCTTTAAAAATTTCAGTGAAAAATAAATATAAAATAATTTATTTATTATGAGCATTTTAAAAAAATATTAATTACATCTTAAAATATTAAAAACGTTTCACATTTTTTTAAAATCCAACCCTTAAAAAATACTTTATATTTTTTAATAGAGAAAGTAATAAAATATAAGCAATCATTAACTTGAGTTTTAATAACTATTATTCCTTTCATTTCAAATTATAAAATACTTTTAAAGATTCAGTATCTCAAAATATAAAGTACTTTAATACAAATGAGATTTCATTAATGATATTTTTTTTAATATTACTCTTCTCATGTATTCTCTCTCTTTAATATTTTTTTTATAAATAGAGTATTAAATAAAAGATATTTTTTAAAATTTATATTTTTATTTTGAAGAAGTAATGTTATAAAATATATTTAATGAGTTTTATTGATATGTATATTTTATTTAAAAGTATTTTATAATTTAAAATGGAGATAATGATATATAATAAAGTGTTAAAACCCATAAATTTAAGTTTTAAAAATTTGGCTTAAGAGGTGACATCATCCACTACTGTTTGCTCATTTGTTCTCTTTCCCTTACCAAGCCATTGCTCCTTCCCTCACCAAGTGGGGAAATTTTTTTGAAATCAAGAAGTTAAAAGGAAGGGATTAATTAGTGGGAATCGGCCATGCATAGAAGTTTCGCAGAGAATAGAATTTTAAAAAGACAAAAGAAAGAAGATGGATATGTTTGAGCTCATATTTTGAGATTCACATTTTTTTAGTGGAGAATGCAATAAAAATCACGATCCTTTAATGTCCGGGTGAAATGGTAAAAGTTACTTGAAACATGAAACTCTTAATATATATATATATATATATAGAAAAATATAATTTTTGACCCTTACATTTTACTCGTGTTTTGCTATAAATTCTTGCACTCTTTTTAATATTTTAGGTTCCTACACTTTTATTTTTTTCAATATTTCAAGTCCGTCTAAGCTTCCTACATTTTGTTTATTTAAGAATCTAAAACACTGAAAAATAAAAGTATAGAAATTTAAAACACCAGAAAAAGGTGGAAGGACTTATAGTAAAATACGAGTAAAATGTAAGAATTAAAAGTTATGTTTTTTCTACATATAAATATATATATATATATATTTCACAACGTAGAATTTCTCAAAATGATCTCATTATTTGATCATGATATATGATATTTTTTAAAAGTTTT